AAAAAAAAAGAGAAGTATTTTGTCATTCTCGTCTTCTATGCATTTGACTTGTTTTTATCTAGCATACAGAACGCAAAACGAAGAAAAAAAAACAGACCGATCTATTCCGTCGAATTGTAAAAGAAAAAGAAAAAGAACGTGGCTATATTTATGTTCTCGTGAGACATTGCTTAAAAACTATTTGTGACCGACGGAAGAAAGAAATACTTCAAAAAAAACATATTTTTATTTTCATTTTGCTCGATCGTACATGTGATAAATCATCGAAATTACAAATGTCAATATTTCAACCAAAAGAAGATTTAAAATCATTATTTCAACCAAATTTCTTTCCACCTATTGATGGTTTACGAGCATTAGCAAGTTTATCTATTATCTATGTTCATATTTGTCAAATATTTGTTTTATTTATTCCAATGTATCCCGCTAAAGAATGGTTTAATTATTTTTATTCAAATTCATTTTTATTCTGTATGATATTTGTGAATAGTTTGGAAATATTCTTTGTTATAAGTGGATTTTTATTAACATATTCTATATTAACAAATAAGAATAATAATGAAAATAATTTTTTTATTTTTATTTTCAAACGTTTATTACGTTATTATCCTGGTTTAATATTAATATTATTCTATATGTATTTATTTGGTGATTTAGAATTAAATAATTCCAAATCAACTATTTCAAATTATATCGTTCATCTATTATTCATAGTAAATTATGTTAGATTTGATTCGTCATGGTTTTATTCATTACGTAATAATTGGTCAAATTGTGTTGATTTTCATGTCTATATTATATTAACTTTCATACTTCGATTATTATGGATTAAATATAAATTAACATTAAAACAAATCATGAAAATTCTAATATGCTTATTATTACTATCTGTTGTTATTTCTTATTATTCATTTGATTCATCAATAGAAATAATGAAAGTTGGTACGAGATCACATCCATTTTATCAAACAAATTATGAACAATCAAAATCATTATTTGATTTTTATAATTTAACATTTCCAATTAATAAATCAAAATTTATTGATCATTATAAATTATCAAGTTTTGTTAAATTTTATAGCCCAACACATGTTCGTTATGGTAGTTTTATTAGTGGTTCAATATTAGCTATTAAATTATTAATTAATAAAAATGAAAATTTTATTAATGAAAATCGAATTAAAAAATATTTCTATTGGATTTTATCTTTATTTTTATTTCTAATAATTAGTATACGTCCAAATATGAATCAACCCGATCCACCCATAATTTTAGTTTGTTTAATAAGACAATTAATATCAATGGCTATTGCTTATATTTTATATACAACATTAGTAGATCAAAAATCGATTTATTATAATAAATATTTAAATCAAATTTTATCATCAAAATTTTTCATACCAATATCAAAACTAAGTTATTTAGTTTATTTAATTCATTTACGTCTTGCAACTGATCTTATTAACAATGAACCATTAAGAAGAACAAAAAAATATCATATCGATATAGCATCACCTATTTGTTTTCCATTTATATTAATTATATCACAAATAATAGCTGTTTGTTGGTATTGTCTTGTCGAACAACCATTTATTCGATTAACAAATAGATTATTCATAAAATCAAAGAAAAATAAATAATAACAAAATCTTTTTTTTTATTTCTGTTTATTACGCAGTTTGATTTATAAAAATATTTAGTTGAACATTTGGTATTAACATACATACGTCATTGATTTAAATTTTTTTACTTGTTAATGACGTAAATCATGGAAGAAAATATTTTCCTATCCGGTTTTATTTCTATGATATTATAGAAAGTCAGAACTTCGCCTACTGAATAACGGAACAAACACATTTTTATTCAGTGATATAAATTCTATTCATTTTATTAAAAAAAACTCAATTATGATATCCTTACTTTTTTTAATATTTTTCCCTCTAATAAATACGCAATTTCAAATTAATCTTGATATAACTAATGAAGTAAGTGAAAGTGATATTGTTTTTCAACATGATTGCCTTCATGTTGCTGCTGCTGGAAATGAAAATGAAATTCTTTCGTTATGTATGAGTGAATGGCCTTCAAAATGGAACATTGAAAGAAATAATTTTGATAAAATTTATAGTTTTACTGAACTTTCTAAACTTAATGTAACAAGTGAACAATTGTATCTTTGGTCAGCACCCATGGATATTATTGAAGATTATCAATTTTATCTAAATGATATTTCAATATTAAATGAAAAATTCTTCTATAATTGTACATTACCAAAATTTGGTCCATTATGTCAATATTCATTAGATATTTCAATATCTTCTTATTCATCATCATTGAAAGAAATAATTGAAAATTTTTATTTACAAGAATATATTCCAACAGATTTAACTTGTTATATTCATCTAGAATGTAATCGTTGTCTTGATTGGAGTGAAATTTGTGATGGGCATATTGATTGTCTTAATAATGGAATTGATGAAGAACATTGTTGGCAACTTCAAATAAATCAATGTGAAGAAAATGAATATCGATGTGGAAATGGACAATGTATTCCGAACATATTTTATCATGATAGTCAAGATTCTTTTGATTGTATTGATCGAACTGATGAATATACTAATTGGATTTTACCTTTTTATAATCGTATCAAAGAACCAACAGTTACAACAGAAGATATTATATGTAAAAAAGATATAGAACGTCGAGTATCATTTACTAGTTCATGTGTAAATAATCGAAATGATCTTATTTTAGAAGCTATGTTTTCAAGTAAACCAAATTTCGTATCAGATGATTGTTGGTTTGCATTTCGATGTAAATTTCGAATTCCTGATTCATCACATCCAAATTGTCATCATATTAGTATTGACAAAACATATGAAGAAATAATTAATACAACATGTCCTGATGAATTGTATATTCCAAATGTACCATTATTCTTTGGACATATTTATTTCGCTTATACAAGAAAAGCTGCGTTGGAATCTATTACAGGAATGTCTTCACCACAATATGTATGTTATAATGCTCAATTATGCAATGGATTTTATACAGATAGAGAATTATTAACAATAGACCATAGTACATGCCGTCGTCCTGAAGATTTTCCATTCAGATTTGATCCGAAAGGAAGAGGTAGTTGGTTAGATACATATGTTAAACCAGTTTACAAACAATTGTACAAATGTAATACAATTATTCGAAATATTTCAAAATTTTGTGATAATTCAATAATGTATCAATGTATTAATTCATCAAAATGTATTACAAAAGATCGTCTTGGTGATAGTTTAATAGATTGTGATTATCAAGATGATGAAGATCAAGTTATAATTAATAATATTTGTTCACAAGATAATGAATCAAAATTCTTTTTTAAATGTACAACAACAGCAAATAAATGTATTAATCATATTAAAGTTAATGATAAATATTGTCATTGTGGATATAATCAATTTAGATTATGCGATGATGAAGATTTCGATCTTATTCATATTAGAACACATTTATCATTTCCAACAATTTGTGATGGTTTTACAGAACTTATACCAATTAATATTAATGGATATAATGAAACAGATGAAACAGAATGTGAATTATGGCAATGTAATAATACTTATACACGATGTAATGTTATTTGGAATTGTTTTAATGGTGCCGATGAAATTGATTGTAATAAATCAGTAGTATTCGATTGTCCATCTTATCATCATATATGTGTATCTCCTAATACGAATGAATTAATATGTTTACCAATTGCAAAAGCGAATGATGGAATTATTGATTGTTTAGGTGGTATTGATGAACCAAAATTATGTCGATCAAATGAATATATTTATAATGAAAATAATTTTTATTGTCAAAATCAAAGTTCGTCATCTTGTATATCATCTTTAGCTCTATGTGATGATTATGAAGATTGTATCCAAGGAGATGATGAACAATTCTGTTCTTTAGATCAAAATTTGACTACGTATGGTTCTATTTGTAATGATGATTATGATGAAGAACGTTCTGATATTGAAAATATTCTTTGTAATCGTTTATTCGATAATGTTAAAATGCAAACTGTACATTTTTCACTTGATAAAATTAAATCACAACCAAAGCCAACATATGAATTTCCATCTTTTATTGAACCTGTCATACATCATAATCAACGTTGTCATCGTGGTCTACCTTTACGTATTTGGTTAAATCAAGAAAAAAATTCAACAACAATTAGTTGTCTTTGTCCACCAAGTTTTTATGGTGATAGATGTCAATATCAAAATCAACGTATTAGTTTATCGATGAAATTTCAAGCATATTCAGATTCTCGACGAACAATTTTTGCTCTTGTTATTACACTTATTGATGATAGTAATGAACGAATTATTCATTCATATCAACAATTAACTTATTTATATATTCGTGATTGTAAAATTAAATTTAATATTTATTTACTTTATTCAACTCGACCAAAAAATATGTTAAAACATTATTCAATTCATATTGATATTTATGAAAAATTATCATTAACTTATCGTGGAAGTTTATTAATACCAATTAAATTTCCTTTTTTACCTGTTCATCGTATTCCTGTTCATCTTAATATTCCACGTACAAATGAAAATATTCAAATTTGTACAAATCAATCATGTGTACATGGTCATTGTATGATATATTCAGAAGATCCGAAAGGTATTACTTTTTGTCATTGTAATTCTGGATGGTCTGGGAAATATTGTAGTATACCACATAAATGTATGTGTTCATCTGATTCATTATGTGTAGGTATTTCAGCAAGTAATCGATCGATTTGTATATGTCCTATTAATAAATTTGGTTCTCGATGTTTATTATCAAATAATATTTGTCAATCGAATGTATGTTATAATGGTGGTACATGTGTACCTTCGGATAAATATATGACATTTAATAAGACATTTTACTGCTTATGTTCAAAAGGATTTAGTGGTGATAGATGTGAAATATCAGATACAGAAATAATATTATCATTTCATCGAAATATTAAATTATCACAATCATTCATTGTTCATTTTATTGAAATTATAAATAATGCATCGCCAAAGAATGGTAGTACTTTTAAACTAATTCCTATTCAGAAAAATACAATTAATATTTATTGGAAATATCCATTTCATATTGCTTTTATTCAACTTTCGCATAATGATTTTTATCTTATTATAGTTCAGAAAACATACAACCGATCATTAACCTTTAAAAAAGTAATTAATCCATCAGATCGTTGTAAACATATTAATGAAATATTAAATGAAACTATTATTAAATTACCTCTTATCCGTCGTATTAAATATTATCATGTACCATGTCAACAAACATTACCATTATTATCTTGTTTTTTTGATGATACTCATTTTTGTTTATGCAATGATTATGGGAATCAACGAATAGCTAATTGTTTTGAATTTAATTATATGAAAAAACTTGATTGTTTTGGTCAAAGTAATTGTGAAAATGGTGCACAATGTTTACAAGATAATCTTCATTGTCCACAAACATCAATGTGTGTTTGTTCTCAATGTTATTATGGAACACGTTGTCAATTTAGTTCAAATGGATTTAGTCTTTCACTTGATGCTATTTTAGGTTATCATATTTTACCACATATAAAAATAGTACAACAACCGCATACAGTCAAATTTAGTTTAGCATTAACAATAATTATGAGTATATTAGGATTTATGAATGGAATTTTATCACTAATTACATTTAAAAATAAAGAACCTCGTGATATTGGTTGTGGTCTTTATTTATTAGGATCTTCAATTACATCGTTATTTATTACATTTATGTTTGTATTAAAATTTTCAATACTTATTCATACACAAATATCATATTCTACAAATCGATTATTTTTATCTTCTCAATGTATTACAATTGATTTCTTATTACGAATTGGTCTTTATATGGATCAATGGTTTTATGCATGTGTAGCTATAGAACGGATGATTACAACTATAAAAGGAATTCATTTTAATAAGAAAACAAGTAAAAAAATGGCTCAATATATAATTCCAATGATTGTAATTTTAATAATTAGTACAACAATTCATGATCCTATACATCGACGTTTAATTTATGATGAAGATAATGATGAAAAACGAATTTGGTGTATTGCTAGTTATTCATCTCGTATTCAAATTTATGATTCATTTGTTAATATATTTCATTTTTTTATTCCATTTATTATTAATGTAATATCAGCAGTAATGATTATTCGAACAACTGCTCGTTTACATAGAGCTGTTCATCCTCAAGAACTCTATCAAAGAGTTTTACATGTACAAATAAAACGTCATAGTCATCTTTTATATGCACCTATTGTTTTAATTATACTTGCTATACCACGTTCAATTCTATCATTTATTTCAGGTTGTATGAAATCAGTTGATGATTCGTGGATTTTTCTTATTGGATATTTTATTTCATTTATTCCACCTATGATTACTTTTATTTTATTTGTATTACCATCAAAATCATATAAGAAAGAATTTTGGAAATCAATTAAAAAATATCGAACAACAATACAAACACATTTACATATTGATTCATAAAAATCTTGATTTTTATATCCTTTCAGATTCATCTATTCATTATTTGATATTGTATTTGTCTCAATGCTTTTTCTTTTAATTGAAATTAAAAAAAAATTATTAATATTCACTTAAATTTATCATATTAAGATGACAGTAATTGTCAGTTTTTTATCACGCATACATGCGTACCGGAAGATAAAGAGTAAGATTATTTATAAAACTTGAGAACAGCTCGGAAAATCTCCTCAAATGGTTATAGAAGATATTTTCTTGCGTTCTGCACGAGCAAGAAAAAAAATAGTTCAATCTCTCTCTTCCGTTCTATGTTCATAATCAGCTGCGTTTAAAATCCAGTGTTATTATTTCTATACATATAAAAAGATGAAGGTGTGGGTTCGGTGGAATACATAATAAACAGATTGGTATACACTTAGACCCACATCTTCATAACATAACATATACTAATCGGACTTTCTCGAGTACGAGTACGCGTACTTCGAATACTTGAACCAGCTCTGATAAGTACGAAGATAAATTTATAGTTAACTATACTAATATGCATTGTCATCATTCTTTTTTTCTTTCGCATTCGTCATAATATTGACTTATCTTGACGTGGCAAAAGCTTTGTGAGTCTAAGCGCGTATATATATATATGCTGTCGCCGTATCATTTTTTATTCTTTTGTCAGTCAAGGTTTTATCTAACACACAATTATGTCAACATATAAACTTTATTATTTTAATGGTCGTGGTCGTGCTGAAGTTGCTCGTCTAATTTTTGCTGCTGCCGATCAAAAATTCGAAGATATTCGTTATGAACATAGTGAATGGCCATCACATAAAGCTGAAGCACCTTTAGGACAAGTGCCAATTCTTGAATTTGATGGTGTTAAATTACCACAATCAATATCTATTGCTCGTTTTCTTGCTAAACAATTTCATTTAGCTGGTAAAGATAATTTTGAACAAGCAAAAGTCGATGCTGTCGGTGATACAATTGGTGATCTAATTTCAGCATATGTACCAATACGTCGAGAACAAGATGCAACTAAAAAACAAGAACTTATAAAGAAATTTGTGAGTGAAGAATTATCAAAACATTTACAAAATCTTGATACTCTCGGTAAATTATATGGTAATGGTGGTCCATTCTTTGTTGGTAATAATTTAACATGGGTAGACTTATTTTTCTATGATGTATCAGCAAATATTCTTCAATTCGATACAAATGGTCTAGATACATATCCGTGGTTAAAACAAAATCGTGAAGAAGTAGAAAAACAACCAAAAATTGCGGAATATCTCAAAAACCGACCGCAAACATCATTTTAAAATATAGAAAAAAAACCAAAGAACATTCATATTCTTTTTTGATTAGCTAAGAGATGTGTTTTTTTTATTCAAAATAAAAATGCAATATTATCCTTTCATTTTTTTCTTTTCTTCTTGGTATTTAAGCATAATGATGTGGCAAAAACAACATACACGTGGTATTTTTTCTTTTCTCATATAAATATCCTTGTGTGTGCGACATTCTTTTTTTTCTTATTTCACTCACAGTCTAACTACCATAAATGTCGACATACAAACTCTATTATTTTAATACTCGCGGTCGTGCTGAAATTGCTCGTCTAATTTTTATTGCTGCTGATCAAAAATTCGAAGATATTCGTTATGAACATAGTGAATGGTCATCACATAAAAATGAAATGCCATTAGAACAAATGCCTGTTCTAGAAGTTGATGGTGTTAAATTACCACAATCAGGAGCTATTGCTCGTTTTCTTGCTAAACAATTTCATTTAGCTGGTAAAGATAATTTCGAACAAGCAAAAGTGGATGCTGTTGTTGATACAATTGCTGATGCAATGACACAATTTTTACCAATTCGTTTTGAAAACGATGAAACAAAACAAATAGAAATGGTGAAAAATTTCTTTGCAAATGAATTACCAAAACATTTACAAAATTTAGAAGTTTTAGCTAAACAATTTGGTAATGGTGGTCTATTCTTTATTGGAAATAATTTAACATGGGCAGATTTATTATTTTATGAAGTAACAGAAACTCTTCTTGGACTAAATAAAAATGCATTAGATAATCACCAATGGTTAAAACAAAATCGTGCAGAAGTAGAAAAACAACCTCGAATTGCAGAATATCTTAAAAATCGACCAAAGTCACAATTTTAAAAAGACAAAATTGATGAACATTTATATATTATTAGTTTTTATGTTGTACTTGAGTGAGAATAAGATTCATTACGACTGATCCTAAATTAATATCATTCGTCATATGCTTATATGTTATGTGTCTTATTCTAAGTAACGTTTAGTCAATAAAAGAGTTTAAGTAAAAATAATTTGATTGCATGTCTGATGCTCAACTAGAAAAAAGCTAAGTTTTGATGTGATTGAATATGTTATTCATCTCTTCAATCTTATTTTAAAATGAAGGGTCTTATTTTCATATTTTTTCACAAATTACGATGGGTGTGGGTATTAAAAAAATGATCGGAAACTCACATCCTCACGATAATGAAATGAAGAAAAAATACGTATATAAGTAAATGTATCTTCGCATTCGATTAAGATTTTCATAATTTATTTCACTAATATTCTATAGAGATTTGACAAGTACTGTAGAATAAATATACTTTGAGTTTATTTCTGCTTGTAAATATTAAGGCTTCAGCTATAAGACAAACAATAAGCACATACAACATAAAAATCGTTGATTATTATTTTTCTTCGATTATTTTCTCAACATCATCTAATATAAGTGTAACTTCAGTTAGTTCAACAAGTGAATCAATACTATCAACATGTGTACTAAAATTTTGTATGTGTATTATAACCATAGTCAAAGCCATAAGCCAATGTATGATATTATGAAAATGTTTAACAGCTTCATACCAACCATATCTATAATTAAGATATTTCCATATAACTTCTGCATATTTATTTTGAATATGAAATATTGCAGAAGAATTTGTTGAATCTATTAAAATATCTGGAGAATATAAATAAGTAGTTTTTGATAAAGCAAATAATGAAAGTGCTAATTTAAATATTATAATATCTGAATTAATAAATTTCATTGTCCATAGAGTAAGAGAGACTGCACCATTGCCATACATTGCTGTTAGAATTTTCAAAAAAGAATCTAGACTAAATAAATCAAAATTGATAATTTACAAATATCATCATTCAAACGAAGATATCTTCCTGTTGTTTCATAAATAGATAATAAATAATTTTCTACAAGTTTTTGATATGTCACATTTATTGGTTGTAAAGAATTATGTGTATCTACTAAAGATTTACCAAGTAATGAAAGTTGAGATTCATCAAAAGTATTATATAAATTTGAGAGAAGTGTCCATTGACTGGTGGTCAATAATGAATGATCTGGTTTTAACGAATTTATTATTGATAACTAAAAAATAAATAAGAAAAACAGTTTTGTAAATTTTAATTATCTTACTTTTTTTGATTGATATCGTGGTTCTATTTTAACCAATGATTTAGTCGGTCTTGGTGCTCGAAATTTGTCAGTAGTCATTCCATATTGAAAACATTTCCTAAGCCGACACGATGCACACATATGATGATTATCTCGTTTTATTTCACAGTGATCATTAAAACTACATTTAAATGCTTCCTAAATCATACGAATAATTTTTATTTAAAAATTAAAAAAGATAATTGAAACTAACCTGTTCAATATTAGCATTTCGTTTAAAAAACATTTTACATGAACTACATGAAATAACGCCAAAATTTAGATATTGAGCAGGAGCGCCACATATTCGACATTCTGATAAATTTTGTTTTTTTGTTAATGGAAGATTTAACATTGTATTTGTATTCTAAAAATATGATATAATATTGAATTGAATACGTTTAGATAGTTATGAAATAGATAAGAAAAACACACAACCTGTTTATATAGAAAAAGAAGAAAATGTTATTGACGAGACGTGCTGTTTCCCTTACGTTCAATACAGAATGAAAAAACGTCTTTTTGATTCCATGTGTTTTTCTTGCAGAAAAGATAAAATCAGCGTCTTTTTTTTTCCTCTATGTATTTTCTCGTCGTTTCTCTTAAGTTTTGCATTTTATATATCGATAATGTCTTTTTTCTATCAGTAGACAATGTTATACATGAATTTATCTGTTTGACTCTATCAACTCATTTTGTTTCTATATAAATTTACTAAAGACAGTAATTGAAAATATAATTAAAATATTATAAATGTCTATAAGAACTTAATCCTCAAGGTAGATATTATACACGTAGACAATATATTAATGAATAATATTCTTTTATAATTATAAACATCTCTTATGGAACTAGAAAATTACAACAAATTTATATACTCAAAAGAACGATACTTATATTCAAATTCATTCATCAGTTTTTGTATTCATATATCGAATAGTAAACAAATACAAATCAATTCCTTTATCTAAAATTTAACTTTACAATAAACAAAAAAAGTATTTTGTCGATTCTGCTATATTTATTTTTTGTTATTTCACCATTATTAAACTAAGTGAAGAGGAAAATAGTGAGGCTTTAAGAGTGTACACTTCAAAATGTTTTGAAGTAAATGAAATTTCACCATGTCCATATTGGTAAAAGTTCATTTTATCTTGCAAATATTTTCAAAGAACTCAATTCATCAAATGAATGATTTCTATATAAACAAATCCTGACTCTCTATTTTATATTAAATGAAACTACACCTAATAATTTTGTATATCTTCTATATACATAAGCACAAGTCATGTTGCTTTTTTTTATTGTAAATAACAAATGGTGGTGAGTAATCTTATCAAACAAAACGATTTCTTCGAAAAAATATTTAAACAATGGAAACCAACTTCAATTTCTTCTATAGAATACAAATCTTTATTTGAAGAGCAAAAATAAACTCATGAAAATATACTATTTGTTCTTGATTTATCTATCGAAAAAATAAAAAATGATACATCATAGTACGAAACAGATGATAGTCTTCAATTAACCAAGGAAATTTGATTCAATGCTTCTTCAAATGTCATATCTTTGATCAAAAATTAAATATCTATATTGTATCAAAATAAATATTTTGTTTTATTTAAAATTATTAATTAAATACAAAAATAACTTTATGTTATAATAATGATTTTTAATAGTATCCATAACCATAACTATTACCATAACCACCCATACCACCACCCATACCGCCACCCATTCCACCCATACCACCCATACCACCCATTCCACCCATTCCACCCATACCGCCCATTCCACCCATACCACCAAATCCTCCATTAGGATTTCCACCAATCATATTATCAGCAATCATACCCATTGGACCTTAATTAATGAATATTCAAATAGATAAATAAAATGTTTATGAATTTACCATTTAATCCACCAGGAACAAATCGATTAATCATATAGTCTGAAGCCATTTCTTCCATTCCACCACCAAACGGGTTTCCACCACCAAACATTTTCTTATTTAATATATAATATATAAAAAAAACGAGTCCTTCCTATCAAAGCAAATAAATGAATAAACGAAATAATACTCGTCGTATATTATATATTCTTATGAAACAAAAATAAGAATCAGTGAAGCATAAAAATGGTTAATTTTCGACTAAAATTATTGCAAAAACCCATGCATTATATTATTATTTTCTATCAGTTTTACCTTTTGGTTTTCTAATCAATAGAAAGTCACATGGTGATCGACAAACAAAAAAAATATTGATGTTAATATAACTTATACCAAAAAACGTATTTTTTTTCATTCGTTTTCTAAAGAAAACGAGATAAATATTATATTGATAGAATATAAATTTTCTTTCAAGTTTACATTTTATTTAGAAAATCAGATTTTGTTAACAGAAATTGAAATAATTCATTTCTACTAATTATCAAAGTGATTATACGAAAATAGATCGAAATATATCATATAAAAAATCTTTTTTTGCTATTAATATCAAACTGTCATGAACTTTTTTGAATCTTATCCCGTGTAATTCATTGCAGCGTTATAAAAACTCGTTTGGATTATATTTTATAGTCCAATATTTCAAGCGTTTGACTTCAAATTTTTTATTTACACGTAGATAGTGAGAAATCCTGATCTTAGGCACCAATCCGACCTCAACTGCATTTAATAAAATAGAATTATCGTGAGGGTGTGAGTGTGAGTGTTGTTATAGCAGAAATAACACCCACGCCCACACCCACACCCACATCCTCAAGATGTTATATATCTTCTTTGATTGTTTGTGATACGTATACCATATAGAAGGAATTTTAATGACTATAATAAAGATTGTTATTTAGCCAAAAAAAATGAAATTATCAGTCGAAAATGTATTAGTATACCATTGTTCATTCTAATCTTCTGTTATAAAGAGGACGGAGTCGGGACGATTTGTCCACAAAATAACCCCAATAAAAATCTCATCTAAAACGATTTCTATTTTGAAATTTATGCTTTCATTTGTAAGATAACAATACTTTCGACAACTCTCATACTTTCTCTGTCAGAAGTTGGATACCGATACTCTCTGTAATTGTAACCTAAAGTTAATGAAAAAGCGTGATATTTTTAGCACTAATAGAGAACGTCATCAACTATGAAATAACGATAAAACATGTAGATAAATATATTGTGCTCGTGATTTTCTCCGATTGACTCTGTCAAAAGTGTATGAAATCCTACTGGCTAGGAGCGTGTCTTTTAGAAAAAAAATTTATGCTTTATAGAACCGGGACAGGTTTTGTCGTACAGATAACGGTTACCGAGAGCTAAAATATGATTATGAAATATGTGAGAAAGTTCTCTTCTTTCGATTTTTTTTAAAGAATTCACTGAGCTCTAATTATGCTGAAAAAATAACGCCGATTTTACGAACTACAAGGAAAATATTCTGGATGGGACTGTCGTAGCCAATGGGATTTTAGAGACTTTTGACAGAGTAAATCAGAGAAAATCACCAGCATAATATATTTACCTACATGTTTTATTGTTATTTAATAGTTGTTGACGTTCTCTATTAGTGCTAAAAATATCACGCTTTTTCATTAACGTTAGGTTACAATTACAAGGAGTATCGGTATCCAACGTCTGATAGAGAAGGTATGGGAGTTGTCGCGAGTAGTGCTATCTCATAAATGAAAGTAGTTTTAGACGAGATTTTGTGTACAATTTGGCGCCCCCCTCCCCCTCCTGTGAGATAAGTGTAATGTATGAACTTAGGGTGTGGGTACAATGGATCCTTTGTAAAATTTCGACAAATATATATCTATTAACTTATTTTAGTTTGAAACCAATCTAATCTTTTTCGATAGAAACCGAAAGTTCTTTAAATCTGATAAAAAGCTAAGTAATATATAAAAGATGTTAACTAGTACACTATGAATATTTTTAATTTTTACTTTAAAATATTTCTTTATTTAATATTTAGCACAATGAATTTTCAACCAAATGAACAACCAACATTTGTCAATAATGATACTTCAATCTGTTTTAATGATGAACAACCAAACGTAAGTGTCGATTAATATCTCGAATGAATCAAAGATCAGTTTATTTTGCTTTGTTTTAAATGTCAAAAATTTCGATTTTCTATAATAATGAACTAAAAAATATCTTATTTTCGAAAAAAAATATAGTTCTATTCGCAATCTTGTATTTGCACAGAAAACATTAGGAGACATGTAAAAAAAATTCCTTTCAAATATGATCTATTATAGAATCCATTATTGCCAAATATTGAATCAAGATTTAGTCCAACAGCGAATCTTGCTTTAGATTCTCATTTAATAAATGAATTAATCGATTTCCATCAGAAAAGTACACGCAAAGGAATGATATATTGCTGTAACTTATTTGGAATATTGTTCTTAATTGGTTTGGTATTATTAATCATAGGATTTGTCCATCCAACATGTAGTATTGATTCTGGTGACTGTTCATCAACATCTGAACTATATCTCATTTTTGGTGGAATTCTAATGGGCTTTGGCATTGTGTGTGCGTTGATCGGTCTCTGTATGAATTGTTGTTGCATAAAACAACAATTTGAGGATGTAAATTTTAGTGTTAATGGACAGCAGCCAGTTGTATGGCGACTGGATGGTGAACAATGGGTACGATATTTGAATTATATGCATGGTCCAAATCGAATATGGATGGGAATGGGTCCATTATCATGTTTCTGTTGTCGACGTTCAACTTATGAACGATTGATGAATCGTCAACATGGTCATATTATTTTACATGAAAAAGGTTTAATAATCGATGAATTATATTTTGTTTCATTTCGAGCATATAAATTACAAGGTGTAGAAATACTTTATATCGAGCAATATCCACAAATAATAGGTTTAAGAATACATACTTATGTTCAAACAAAAGGAAATAACATCTATTACGATTTTGATTTATTTGCACCACCGTCAGTTTCAGTGGAACAAATACGAGCACTCGCTCGAGCATACATTATTAAAATACCTAGTGTTAGTGCACTCGATTTACCATTGGAAGTAATTCATATTCCTGAATCAATATTGTTTGCATCCAGCTAATGTATGATCTATTATCACTAATAATTAATTTCATATTTTTTATACATAAATGAATATTATCTATTCGATTGATTGTGTTTACAAATTTCTCTGATGTATAAGCTTTTTTTTGTTGTAATAAAAAACAAAAATTATGAAGAATGATAGTTTTGAGTTAGAAAAAATATATTATCGAATTTTTTGTATTTTTGAAAATGATCAAGTTGACAATGTTCATACAAATAACAGAGTAACACGAGTAAAAAAGCAAAACATATAATAGACATTCATAGGCAGCGGAACGATCTCACTTTTGGGTAGGCTCAATTTTACTAACAAATCACTTCGGATAGCGGATTAGACGACGATATTTTTAATCGTTAATCGTTTGATCATTCTTACGGACTTTAATTGTTGTCGAAATGTAATGATTGTAGCACCTTCTAGTTATCTTATATATAAAATCTTGTGTGATCGATATGCGACGCCGTTTGTTTCTTTTCTCACTAGTTATACAACTAGTTATATCCTGGATTTCTTATCGCTCCTTCTTCCTTCTTCTTGCAGCCAACTATGTCGCATCTTTTATATTTATGTTCTGTTTATTATAAGTCATTCTGTCCTTCTCTCTAATGGTTGTTCTCTTCTCTAATTGATTGTATTGGAAAAAATATAAAGGGGAAGGATATATTGAATAAAGGAACAGTTGTACAAGCTTGGATTACGAAGTTGTTTCAGCAAGTTCCTTCGATGACAGATTCCATCCTTTATGAACTGTTCCGATTAATTGTTTTGTAGTATATGATCTCGTCATCGATATATTCACCTTCAATATTGATCAACGATTTTCATATATAATCATATTCGGGCTAGTAACTGTCTCGTGATAATTTCCTTATGCCATGTTGCATCTTCCAATTTACCGAGAACTTGAACACTTTTCATGCGTAATAAGAAGTTATTTAATTAAAGTACTCGATGATACTATATCAATCACGTGGTTTTCTTTTTCTCGTGTTTGTTCTGTCTATAAATAAATACTAATATCTTCTCGACTGATGAATAACATCTGTCTTTCTCTTTTCATATATATTCATATGGCTATCCTACGTTTATTTCTTTCTTTCTGTATTGGCACAATATTATCATACGTTTATCGTTCTTTTTCCATTGATATATAGCGTCTATTTTTCTTTCTCCCCATATATTGACTGATATTCTTAATATACTTCTTCTATATCCCTATCTCCATATGAATGTATAACGACTAGTTTTTATCTATTTTTGTGTCTAATCAATTTTCTTGTATAAAAGAGATGTAAAAAATGTTGTATTGATATGATTTTCGATATATAAATAAAATACTATCTATTATCAGAAATAGCCGCAATTACTTTTCTATTTAATATGCACATGATAATATAAACAAAGTAATCAGAGTAATTATAAACAGATCATTGACTAAATTTCGTTTTGTTTTACTCTTGTGATTAACAGATTCCTTCGATTTTTTTAGATAAAATATTACTCTTAATCGAATAAAAAAATTAATCAGTTGGATATCTCAAATACATTTGCTCTAGGTAACATTATTTAGAAATTATTTTGAAGATGACATACTAGAACTATAAGATATGAATAGAAGTGTAGAACGAACATTTACATTGCTCATTTACGAATGTTATCGAAGAACAATCTTTTGCTTTGTAATAAGATATTATTCTTTTGTTGTTGTTGTTGAGTAAAGTAGCCAGGTATTCGCAATGTCATCATCATTTCTTGAATATGCACATATAACATTGTCTCAACAGCATTGGTATATGAATTATTTCTTACCTGAACATTTGATTCGTATCATCTGGTGTTTAATTTTAATGAGTATTTATGCTCTTGTCGAACTTGACTATTTACCAGGGAAACAATGGAAAATTCGAAAAGATTTGCACACATCATCACAAGAAATTATTTATTATATAGAATCATCGTTGATTAATATGTTCAAATGGCATATTCTACCATCATGCTAGTTGTGGAAGATATATTTATCCATGGAATGGTTTTTATTTAAGTGGTTTCGAAGCTTTTGCAGGATTGATCTTTTTTCTTGTAGCTATGCTTCCACTTCAGATGGATCCATTGACTCGTCTTGTATCTATTCTATTCATTCACTTTGTAGCAACAAATATTCATTTCATCATCAACTTGGTCGAAAGAATTTGTCAACTTTCTGGACATTTATTGATCGATCGTCTAATACGAATTATGATTATATGTCTCATCCTCCATCTAATCCAAACGAATTTATATACCAACGATATAAATTCGATATGAAAAAGAAATAAATCTATTCTTATGTTTTATTCTATAGTAAATTTCATTTTGATTTAATCTGTTTTCTTTTTATTGGGTGGATGTGTGAGTAAGAGAAGAGCATAACATCCACACCCTCAGTTTCTTAGTCATTTATATATAAGAGTTTTCATCTGAATATAGTCCATTTTGTAAGCGCTTCAGACCGTCACAAAAAAACGGAAGTGCTTCGATAAGAAAGAAAGAAAGAGAGAAAGAAAAAAGTTTATTTATCAAGAGAACTTATTTATTGACAAATTCTATCACGACACTACTACCGACTGTTCATACATTAACAAACAAAAACAGATGACAACGATAATAAAAATATATCAACTCTTTTGTTGATCTTTCTTGTTCATCACGACAATATTTTTTAAGGGAACTAAGTGAAGTTTATCTGTGAGTATTGAGAAAAAAATCAGTGTCTATATAAATAGATGAGATGAATTTACTTTTTA